AGTAAGCGCCCTGGGTCATCGGGTGATAGGCGCTTGTGTTAATAATTAATACTTTATTATTTAATAGAGAGGTAAGTTGGCGCCCCTGGTCATTGGGTGATAGGAGTTTGTTTTAATAATTAATATTTTATTATTTAATTAAGAGGCCAGTAAATTATAATTATTTTATTATTTAATAGAGAGGCCAGTAAGCGCCCTGGGTCATCAGTTGATAGGCACTTGTGTTAATAATTAATACCTTATTATGTAATAGAGAGGTTAGTAAGCGCTCTGGGTCATTGGATGATAGGCATTTGTGTTAATAATTAATACTTTATTTATATATATAGAACTTAATCAGATCTCCTCGGTGTCCATTCGAATCCAACAGTGATACATCACTTAATGTATAAAACTACGTGATGTGCACGTGTATAAATCACCTCTCCCGTGATAAGAAGCCCGATGCGAGAAGCTGCACGAGTCGCACAGCCGCCACTGGTTGGCGTCGACTTCGGCAAGAAAGCCGGCCACGGCAATGGCCTGCCGCTGAGCTAACCTCAATCCATTGGCCACAGACCTCAACTCCGTCCCCGAGCTCCTCCTTTTGTCCCTTCCGCTCCTGAACCTGTTCCTCAGCGACAGGGATATGCTCCTCTTGGTCTTGGGCTTGTTCGTCCTACAACTACTGTCATCCTCCGTCAGCGCTTCGGGCCGCTTGGCTGACGACTTGGAGTAGGGGACACTGGGCGACGAGATGGTCGGCTTTACCGGCCGGTGTTGGCGCCGGGAGTGCTGGTGCGAGCGCAACGACATGGACACCGGCCGGCGTTGCTGCTGGCTCACCGGGTAAACGTAATCCCCGCAGCTATCGTCGTTTTTCACGCCCGAAAACGACGAGCTCTCCAGGGACGTCGTCTCGTCATCTAGACCCAGAACGTCCTCTTCGTCGTCGTCGTCGTCGTCGTCGTCATCGTCTATGTCTATCGCGTCCACCTGCTCCGTTTTATCCTGGTCTTCTTCTCCGGCTGCTGTTGCTGTTGTCGCACACACGTATGGGATTTAAGGGTTTCTTTTACATTTTTTTTTTTCTTTTTTTTCGTCACCGGTGAACCAAAAATGTTTCGCGGGGTGTGCGTGGTCATTTGATTCTATTTATAATGATCTGTTTGGCAGCAGGGGGCTTTAATCACCAAAGTGTAGCATTTTTACCGACTGTACCCCCCACTTTGCCATCATCAAATGATCCCGAACTTTTATTTGATACATAAAGAGAGAAAAAAAAATGATAATGAGTGTACGTGACAACACAGAATGAAAAAAAATGCGTGAGAAAAATGAACGACAAGTGATGAAATTGTGTGCGCGTGAAAAAAGGTCGTACCGTGAGAGCTCCAGGTAGCGCAGTCGGGGCAGCATCCTTGACTGGGATAGGAATGGTACCTGGGCTCTGTGCCAGTGCCGGTGGTCGTCGACGACGAGGACGCGAAGCTCGGACTCGGGGCGCCCAGGGACGTGTCTGCCGACGATGTAGGATTGGCCGTGGCCATCGCAGCAGCCACCACCGCCGGATGGTGGTGGTGGTGGTGTAGGCCGCAGCAGTTGTTGGCCGATGCCGTAATCATGGAGCGCGTCGAGGAATTCCTGGTGATGGACTCGTCGAGGCTGACGTGCTTCAACCGGCGCAACGAAGGCGACGACGAAGGCGTAGGCCCCGGGGGCACTGGGCCTACGCCCGTCACCTGCCGCTCGACTCCGTCCTGAAGATGGCTGGACCCGCGAGCCGTGGATTTGTACCAGGTGGATCAGATGGCGGGACAGGATTGTCGTGGGCCCACGGCGATATCGCGAACACACATATGTGGGCACAGGGTTTACGGATCATGTCATGGACTAGCAAGTGGGAGTTCATAATGTAGATATAATTTTTAGATGCACAAGCGGTGTGCTCGTTTTTTTTTTTTTTTTTTTTTTTTTCTTAATGGACCAGCTTCGATGTGTTGATTGCATAGGAACGCAGCTGCGTATGCTTGAAAAGTACACTTATGCCGAGATAACTCAAAGAGATCCATTGAAAACGCTTTCACTCTTACTTTTTTTTTTTTTTTTTTTTTTTTTTTTTTTTTTTTTTTTTTTTTTTTTTTTTTTT